CATATTTATCATCAAAAATACATAGAATTTTCTGCATGGTCCAATATATACAATAATTATTGTGGCATATTATTTAAAGTTTTATTATCTATATATAAGGTAATAAATGCCTTCCTTTCGTTTTGCAATTTCACTTATCAAAATTCATGATTTAAGCCAGAAAATTAAAAATACAAGAGCACATACATTTAATATTTAATAAATAAATATCTCTTTTTGATTTCGAGAAATAGCTAGAACAATCTCACGCATGATTTGAAAAGCTTATAAAAAGGAGGAAAACCTCTCAATTTAATTAGTGAGTTGTTTTAGCAGTTTTGTTTATAAAATTGCAGTTGTACTGTAGTGAATTACTGTAGTGATTAGCTTCACGGATTAGCTTTCTTTACGTTTCTCTGTTTTGAATTAAGTTCTGTTGATAAGCATTTTGTTTTATTTGTTGTGATAATAAATTTTATTCATCTTTCATCGGACTTGTGCATTCAATTCATAATGAACTCGTATGCATGTAGCACCTTTTGGTGTCAGAAGTGGGATTTTGAATGCCAATTACAAGAGCAATGTAAGAACACATGAGGCAGCTGATGACTGCATTTACTGCATTCCAAGCAGAGATCAAAGCGGGTCAAGAATCCATTTAAGATGAGATGAAATCTGTTAAAGAAAAGATGGATGCTGGCCAAGAGAAGATGAAAGCTGGTCAGGAAAAGATTAAAGTAGGACAAGAAAAAAATGAAAAACCGAAATCACCTGCATAATAGAAAACAAATTTGACATCGAAGGCAGAATTCACGCTATTGAAAATAATGTTGGACACATCGAAGAAAGAGTGTCTTCTGTAAAAGAACAAATGGAAGAAAGAGTTTCTCCTGTGGAGCAACGAATCGAAGGAAGAGTTTCTGCCATCCAACAACAAATTGATGGCAGGGTTTCTGAAACTGTCTTCAAAGAAGTTTACGCCTTAAAGAAGTGCATAGTGTCATCAGGAAGCAATTCAGATGGTTTTAAATTTTACCGATGCCTACTAGTCCCTTTCTAAAGCTATCCATTTATTATGGGAAGACCTCTTGGCAAGTGTATAAGACACAATTTGCAATAGTGACAGAAGTAAATGGATGGGATTCCCAAGCTAAGGTCTGTCATCTTGGCACTTTTCTGAGAGCAGACGCTGCGGATATCCTTCAGAATTTTCCGGAAAACCAAAGGCTAGATTTTGAAGCTCTGTCCGGCGAGTTGGAGCTGCACTTTAGGGAGAAGTGTTTAAAAGACTACAGCAGGCTCCAATTAAAATCCCTTCAACAGAAGATCGCAGAAACTCTCCAGGAGCTCGCCTCCGATGTTGAAAGGCTGTCCCATCTCGCCTTTTCAGAGTGCCCGACAGAAACAAAGGAAATCCCATCCCTGCAATTTTTCATTGACGGCATCCGGGATCCTGAAATACAGAAAGCTCTATGAATGGCAGATGCTAAAGATCTTAAAAGCATTCTAGTGTACGCCATGAAATTCGAGGCAGCCCAACAAGCCACTCGTCCAGACCACCACCCAGTCAGAGCTGCTCAAAACCAGGAGCCAGGGTATCAAGTCATTGCTCATTTGGACGATTTAACTAGACAATTGAATGCCTTGAGACTGAATATTGGTGACAAGAAACCGAACATAAAATACTGGAGCTGCGGTGCCGAAGGGCACATACAACGAAACTGCAGAACACCCCAGGACACGGATGTTAAGACCGCTCCTAGCAAGCAGCAGGGAAACTAATTAGTGGCCATCTCGTGGGGCAGAGGTTGCCAGATAATGAAAAGCCCCAGTTTAAAGCGCTTCAAATTTCTGCGGTGGGAGGCGGCAGTAATGGACTTTTCATAATACAGTCAAAAGTCGTTAATTCGGACACCCATAATCCGGAATGATCTATAATCTGGACCTCAAAGCTACAAACTTTCTTTTACGCATTGACGCATGCGCATAAGACCTTTACGGTTGCGAATATGCATGTGGGCATGCACAAAATACGTTTACGAATGCGCGTTTAATGCATAACGGACGGTATAAGCTAAGCTAAAATTATCTAATTCAGTTCTCGGCACGCGATGAATTGGAAGTTGATCTGTCAGCACTATCCTTATCTTCAGAGCAGATGTTTTAATTTTATTTGGCTTATAATTCCTTACTAAATGTAGTATTTCATCTCAATGTACTCCGTCTTTGATATGATTTAAATCAAATTCCTCGTCATTATAATTCGCTTTCGATAGCGAAGAAAGTGACACAGATGTTATTGAAAACGAAAAAATTTCGATTGACAAATTAATCGGTATTCTCGACACAGCAATTATAGGACTTGAACGGCGGAACTTTGTAACTGAACAAGAAATTATGTCTGTTTATAGAATTAGAGAAAGTATTATCACATAAAAAACAAAGTAACTTAAACAACTTACATTGAAAGAAATGTTTAATAAAGTAAACAAATAAATATTAAGCTTTTTTTTGTAAATTTTGATACCCTTTAGATCATAATTGTTCTTTATTTCATAAATTATGGTTTCATATTTTTAATTTTATAATTTCTGCATGCCATCTTACCAGATTTAAACTAATGATCTATAATCCGGAAAAATCGATAATCCGGAATTGCCGAAGTCCCGGCGAGTCCGGATTAACGACTTTTGACTGTAGGACATATTAATGGAGTTCCCTGCAATATGACTATATATACAGGATGTATCATATATATTGTCATATATACTGTATATATCATCATATATTCCCAGTTGTTGAGCCATCGGAAGGGATTTGGCTCAACAACTGGGAGGCAAACTTATCTGGACCCTGCCGTGCATTACTCTCCATACTGTGTTCAGTGAGAAGATCGACATTGATGGAAAAGTAAACTTTAACATCACGTTTGGAAGTGCCACTTACCATCACACAGCATATGTAGCAGATATTACAGATACTTGCATACTCGGATTAGACTCTCTAAGGAAATACAATTTTTCCTTGGACTTTAAAAACGACAATTTTTGGTGTCAAAAGTGGGATTTCAAACTGCTTTCAGCAGCTGAAGACATGACTATCCATTCTGAAAAGGGATCGTCGCCTGGAAACGCTGACATCTCACGTGAAAGACCCTACACAGAAAGCTGTCGAAATCATACTAGGGTCGAAGAGAAACACCTGACTACCAGCTATTCTCCATTCCAGATGCCCTTCAGTCGAGACCTTTGTCTGCCTTGTGACCGCCTGTTTGGTTGCCCTACGAATGCACCTTCATTGCCTGAGGAATACATCCAAGATGTCAGGCCTGGTTTGAAGTGATACACTGTTCTACACGAAAGCGAATCAACTTGGCAACGGAGAAAGTGAAGACCAGATACGACACGAGAGCTACTGGACATAGATTCAAAGAAGGAGACAAGGTGTGGTTGTGGAACCCGATTCAATGAAAAGGACTCGGTCCTAAATTACATTGACCTTGGGATGGTCCACACAGTCCTGAACAGGCTGAATGACATCGTGGTTCGGATCCGTAAGTCATCGAACTGTAAAAAACCTTCGAACTTTAAAGTCGTTCATTATGACAGGTTAGCTCACACACATCGAATACACATCGGACTTGTGCATTCATTATGACAGGTTAGTTTACACAACAGTGTAAATAATCGTAAATAGTGCCAGACCATGGTCCTTTTTGTTTCTAAGTGTGTATTTGATTTGACTTGTATTTAATATTTGATTTATATTTAGTATTTGATAGCATTTGATTTGTTTTAATTATTGTATTTATTGTTCACGATGTTTGTTATTGTAATGTAATGTTTATTATTGCATTTATGCCTTAGTTGTAAGTTTGGCTTCCTGTCCAGGGATTGTACTGCCCGGGACGTGCAGTCCTTGGGAAAGGGACAGTGTTACGGGTTTGGCATTTAAATAGTTAATGTTGGTAGAATTACAAATTCATTTGTTTTCTTTCCCGTGCAGTGCAGCCCATGATTAATATTAAGAGAAAACTAAGCCCGAAAATTAAAAATACAAGAGTGCATATGTTAAATATTTAATAAAGAAATATCTCTTTTTGATTTCGAGAAATTGCTAGAACAATCTCGCGCATGATTTGAAAAGCTTATAAAAAGGAGGAAAACCTCTCAATTCAATAGCGAGTTGTTTTAGAAAATTGCAATTGTTTACTGCATCGAATTCGCGGATTAGCTTTCTTTACGTTTCTCTGTTTTGAATTAAGTTCTGTTGAATGTTTTTAGTAGTTTAAAAAATAACAACTTCTGTGAGATATTGTATGAATATCTGAGGAAATTTAAGCATTTTGTTTTATTTGTTGTGATAATTATAGATTTTATTCATCTTTCATCGGACTTGTGCATTCAATTCAGAATGAACCCATACGCACACAACAATACTAATGCTGTATTTGTAATTGCATGTATGTTTGTTCAGAAAAGTCGAGCCATTAGTAGGGAGAAGCATTACTGAGAAAATGCATAAAAATTTAGTTGATAGCAGCCTACATTGGCCACAAAACATATCTTTTATTTATTTATTGATTGATGCAGTCATATATTCTTTATTATATAAAAGATATGTTGATAACACCTTGAGTTTGAACCACTTCTTTACTCTGCATATTCTGAAAACTTAGTTGGAGATCATAAAGAAATTGCCTCAAAGAAACACTGCTTTGAATGAGTGGGTCTTATAATTATAGTATTTTGAATATAAAAATAGCCCTAGTATTCTGAATATTTTATGAATTCTGTGCTATGTCTGAATTCATATAAATAAAATATCTAGTATTCTGAATATTTTATATGAATTCTGTGCTATGTCTGAATTCATGTAAATAAAATATATGGTTGTCTTTGTATCATATGGGTATTGATGATGGACTCAAGATGTGTGTAATTTTTCACATTATTTTTGTCCAATTTAGTTTTAATTGTTAATTATCTGGTTTTGCTTATACTTGTTCTGAATTTTCTCAGGACTTTGAAGAATCTGATGAGATCATAGAACAACTTCTTGTGGAGCGTGATGAACTTCGGTGAAGTATTTTTACTATATTTTGCCATTTAAATTCCTGCTGCTTAATTTTAAAAATTCTCAATTATAAGTTTGAAATGATGAACACTTTTTGCACAAAATTCCCAGATTTATAGAAAACTGCCATAGAATTTTACGTAGCTAGCAAAATTTCTGAAATCAAATTTTAGTTGGAAATCTTTCTTAAAATATGAAATCATTAATCTTCTCATATATTAAAATTATTTATGTTATGCCTTTTGCCTGTTACATGAGGTTAATGTGTAACATGATTAAAAGATATCTGCAAAAGAAAGGTAATTTCACATCCACATACTTAAATTTGCAGTTAAGATCATCATAGAATTTTTCTTAACGTTTAAAATAATTTTCTTTCACTATTTTTAATTATGGACTTTTTTATTTTTTGGTATAATTTTGCTGAGAATGTATGTTAATTTTTTATCATTAAATATTGTTATGTGAAAGCTGACATTATTCTCACTGCAGGTACAAATGCAAAACTATGTCTTTTTAGCTGTTAATTTACATCTGTAATATTTATAAGGAAGTGCTGTCCATCCACAAACCATAACTTTCAATTAAAAATTTTTTAAGTGTATGCATCATACTGAAGGTGTTTCATTTGGCCTTGTGAAGGACTGAGGCTGCATTTTACTTAATAGTATAGTAGTCAGAAAAAGGGCTATTAGATATCAGTTACTAATTGAAAATTAGATGGATGTACTTAAGTGCAGTATTATTTGCCGTGAAATTTAAACAAATTTCAGTTCAAATAGCAGATCTTTACATGGCTTTCAGAAACTCTTATAAAGTAGACATATTCATAGTCTAGTCTTATGTCATTGCTCACTATCTTTTGGTAACATAACTGATTTTTTTTTCTATAGTTGTTTAGCAAACTTTCATATAATTTATATAATATAATATTTGTGGATTTACAAGAGCTAGGTTTTAGAAACATTTGTCCGCTTTCATGCTGCAGGGTTCATATGATCCTTAAAAGTTCTTAATTTGGCCAATATCGACAAAAGGTCTTTAATTTTACTCATCTGACATTTCTGTTGATTTTTTATGCTTGCCATTTTGAGTGTTAACAGATTGCAGGAATAATTTTTTGTTAATTCATTGACAAACGTGTATTTGGTGGATTATCATCTGAATTCTTTCATACTTCTTAATATAAATGGTGCAATACTCAAAATTTGGGCCACATGACCCTGCCTCTATTGAAACATTAGCATTATGAAATTATTTCTTTGAGAATGAAGAGTTCCTAAAATGTTACATCTAAAATAACTTTTCTGTTTTTGAAATTTGATTTATTTTATTATGTGGTGCTGAATTTGGCAATTTTTCAACATTTAGGCGATTTCAAGATCAATTTATTTACTAAATTTTTTATTCAGAGATTCGAGAATTTTTTGATGGTTCACTCCCTTTACAAATGTAATCGAAATTGTAATTAACAAAGAGCATTAAAATTTTTATTTCCCCATGTCAGTTTAAAATGATATTACTTTCCATTTTGACAACTTAAAAAATTTTGATTCCGAAAAATAAGGTAAATGCTATAAAAGTTTCCAAATAATTTAACAGAGGCAAAAAAGCTACTATAATTATTTAAAAATTTCATATGCCTTTTGTATTTTCTTGGTAAGAGTTTTTTCGCATGTAGTTTCAGAACATTTAAATTTGTGTCAGTTTTCTCTTAATTGTGAAAATTTTTTCACTTAGCACTTAAAAATGTTTAGAAGGATTTGAAAGCAAGATTTATAGAAAGTGTGACAAAATGAAAATGTCTTTATGGCATTAACACACAATGATTCAGTTTTTTTTTTTTTTTTTTTTTTTTTTTTTTTTTCCCTTTCTAAATTTGTTATGTATTTCATATTTTTTGGAGAACAGTGTAAGAACAGTGAAAACAAAGTTATTTTAATTTTCTGCTTTTGATCCTAATGTCTTTCTCTTAACATGTTTATCTTCACTTTATTTTCTCATCCTTTCGCTAGACACAAGCATGGGAAAATTGCAAAAATGGTTCTAATCTGTTCACATGGTCAGGCATCTGTAGAAAGGAATTTTTCTGTTAATAAAGAAATGGAAAACTGACTATTTAAGATTAATTTTGTGTATCTCATTGCAACACAGGAGTAGGTCTAGGCATTTTGTAATTTTGTGCAGTCTGTATGGGTCCTGCCCAGTGCCTGTTCTAAATCTAAAAATTTTGTAAATCCCTAAATTTTGTTGCTTAGTGCTTCATTAACTTCAAAAATTCTCCCACACTGCCTTTCACATCAGCCGTAACCTTAAACCGTCTTATATTTGTTCGTAATATGTACATTAAAACAATTGTCAGTTTCTTCTATACATTCTAAATATGTGCAATTCTTTAGAATAAGTCTTCAATTAAATCTAAAATTTTAAAATAAAGAGGAAACTTATTCAGAAAGAAACTAGTTACATAAAGAGAAATAAAATCGTTTTTCAAAGGTATATTGTTGAAACATTAACAAATTAGGAGACGAAGCAGTGATAAGTGATAGCATTGATTTTTTTTTTTTTTTTTTTTTTTATTTGAAAAAAAAAAAAAATCTTTGCTGAAGACAAGGTTTATAGGCCTATGATTCTAAATAAATGTGACAAAATGAAAAATATCTTCATGATATTAACACATAATGGATATGTTTTATAGGAAATTTGTGATAAATGTCTTATCTTTAGAAGAATTTTTGGAAGAACAATGAAAGTAAAATTAATTTTTATACACAAGTACTGAAACAAGCAAAAAAAGAAAAATTGACATTTAAGAAAATTCTGTATGTTTCTGTGCACCACATATACCTCAGTACTTGCTTTTGTCATCCTTAAATTTGGTTTCAGTGCTTCAGTAAATTCTAGAAATTCTGCCGCACTGGCTCTGGCATCGGCCCTAACTTTATCGTTTCATATTTATAGCATTTTAAATTATTAAAGAAATAACATTAGCAATTCTTTAGCATATCTAAAAATTCTGAAATGAAGAGGAAACTCATTGAAGAAATTGATTTTATAAAAGGGAAACAAATATTCTTCAAATTACTTTATTCAATCATTAAGAAATTACGGGATGGAGCAGAGACTAGTGGGGACATTGATTTGTTTATTGAAATAAACTCTGAAAACATGCTGGAAAAAAAAGAGTAGGAAACTGAAAGTAAATTAGCTAAACTATCTGGAAAACTTTCAAATTAAAAATATGCATAAATATTTTGTTGTTGTTAGTACAAAGCATAAATGTTTTGTAGCTTTTAATATACTATTACACTAATATCATTTTAAAATCAATGTCTTGAATCAACTGCTGTAAGATGTTCTTAGTGTTTTTTAAATGGTTTTTTGTTAAATAAAAAAAATTTAAAAAATGGCAATTGTTATCATGTTATGACTAAATCTGCATCTAATTAATTGTTTCTAAATAACTGCTCACCTTAAAAGTTATCTCTACATGTTGAGTTATCACCTTTCCTTATTCCTTATTGTGGATACAAGATGCAACACAAAAATTTAAAAATTAACATGAAACTTTATTCCTTACAATTAAATGAGACTTAAAATAACACAAAACAACATATCACTTCTGCTGCTTTAGCAGTTTATTAGAACTTTATATTAAATAATGTTAACTGAATTACAACTCCAGCAAATCTACACAAAGTTACCACACTAACTGGGTCAGCCAAAGTGCAGCTAATTTCAACACTTTACCAACTTTATCAACTTCAGGCTTTCACGTCTGTTTTGATGAGTGGCTGTTTCTCTGAGGAAGCAGCTGCAGTGGCAACAGCCAAGCTTCTGTTGGGTCTTGCTGATTATTATATTACTTCTCAATTCAATTCATGTCAGATGTAAAATCTGCATAAACCTTTGAACTGAGCGAATACATGACGAAATGAAGTAAATAATCAATATAAAGCTGTTAGTAACATTTAAATTAAAAGGTAGTAATTTCCTTTAAAATATGCAGGACTATTATAACTGTAAAATAGAAATTTTTCAAGAAATTATATAATTAATTTAATGATAATTACTTGATAAAATTTATGAAGTTTTTTTATTCTTGAAGTTTTATAATGAAGTTAAATATTAGATTATGTATAATAATGATTCTGCTGACATATTTATTTTATTCTTATAAATTACAAATGTGGAATTGCAGAAGTAAAATTCGGTTGTAGGTAATTGCTTTAAATTATTCATTTCCTATTTGCTGATAGGTCTTCAATTTTTTTCATTGATTTTCTTTTCTACACTACCACCACAGCTTTAATAGAAACTGCTTAGCTTCCCTTTTTTTCATTATACTTTGTGAAGTATAATGAAACTTTGGTTTCAGTTAGTTAGCAAGCGTTGCGTCTAATCTATGCGGTGAATTATCGCCACCAGAATAACTAACTATCAAACAAGTAGGCACAGAATTAAATTACCTGAAGTTTACTCAATGTCAGCATGTGTATTTGCTTAAAATGTACAACATGAAATTACCAGTCATCACGAACCAACATAAAACTTCCTTTTATGAGGGATATAAATTCAACAATTTAGAGTTCATCTGTGCAGAGACAAGATTATATGGACCATGATATTTTCCACCACACATTTACCAAGCCAGAGCTGACTTTGGCCTAAAATAATCTTTTTGTTTTATCAGCAGGGTAGTGAAAGTAAGCCAAAACTCTTACGCTCCTATTCGTAAATTTCTACACTAAAGTAAAATTACTTGTCACTCAGAATCTACATAAATTATGAAGTGAATGCATCCCTTGGCAAAAAGAGGCAGAATGGGGGGAAGAATTATATTGGCTTTTTGTTAATTCTACTTAAACATAAATGCCACAACACTGCTGGCAATGCAGAATATAACACTCAGAAAGCATCAAATAGCTTTACGATCTGTAAAGACCTCAATATGGCATGCATGATTAGCTTTGCAGCTCAATTTTTTCAGAAACACCTGTAGAG